CGCCAAGTTGCCCAGGCGGGTCTCAAACCCGCGGGCTCAGGCAGTCTACTCACCTCAGCCTCCCAATGCGTGGGATTACAGGCTGAGCCACCAAGGCCGACTCAGACCTGTTATTTAATCTCAAAGTTTTGAATAAGTTTACAGGAAGAAGCATGATGCCATATAAAGTGTGCTAACCTACCTGGTAACTTGTTACAACTTTTGCATGGAAATAATTTTTTTCATTTTTCTAGTATTATATTATGTACTAGCCAGGTATCTTAACAGCCAGATCTGTCGTTTTTTAATTCTTAAAAAAAAAATGTTTAATGTATTATGTTTAGGTTACAGAATTGTTTATGGATAATAAAAACGAACTTGACCAGTGTAAATCTGACCTGCAAAATAAAGCACAGGAACTTCAAACCACTCAAGAACATTTACAAGAAACTAAAATACAACTTGTTAAAGAAGAATATGTCACATCAGCTTTGGAAAGAACTGAGGAGAAACTTCATGACACTGCCAGCAAGGTTTGTCCTTTGTTTTGATTTGTATTCACATTAAAGAAATGACAGGATGGGTAGAAGTGACTTTCTCTGCTTAGACATTAAATGTGAGATTCTGTTTATTCAGCCCACATGACATTTTAAAACATTATTTTACTATTTCATTTATGTTATTCTCACTGGAGATGCTGACTTAAGAAAAATACTATTCCTGGAGTTTTGAAAATAGAATATGACTTTGTAATATATTTTATGGAAATGTAGAATAATTATGTTGTGGTACTTTTTTTTTCTTTTTTTTTACTTATAATTTTTTTATTTTAACGATGTGGTGTACAATTCAGGGATAAGAGCCGGGCTCGGTGGCTCAGCCTGTAATCCCGCGCCTTTGGGAGGCTGAGGTGAGTGGATTGCCTGAGCCCGCGGGTTCGAGACCTGCCTGGGCAGCGAAATCTCATCTCTACAATAAATAAAAAAATCACCCGGGCATGGTAGCTCATGCCTGTAATTCCAGCTACTTGGAAAGCTGAGGTGGAAGGATCGCCGGAGCCCAGCAGGTTGAGGCTGCGGTGGCCGGGAGCGGCCACTGCACTACAGTCTGGGTGACAGAGTGAGATTCCAACTCAAAAGAAAAAAACAGAAAAAAAACATTCAGGGATAAGTATACATGTTCATTCTGCAGATACCCTCTTTGATGAGGTGTGGTCCCACCCTTGCCCAGGCAGACTTCCACTATGGTGCTTTTTCTTTGTGATAACAATCGAACCTAATTAGTCATTAAGAATTTAGTGCCACCCCACAATTTTAAATAAAAATTAAAAGGGAGAAAAAATCCGGGTTCAGTGGCTCATCCTGTAATCCCGCGCCTTTGGGAGGCTGAGGTGAGTGGATTGCCTGAGCCCGCGGGTTCGAGACCCGCCTGGGCAGTGAGACCTCATCTCTACAATCAATCAAAAAATCAGCCGGGCGTGGTAGCGCATGCCTGTAATTCCGGCTACTCGGAAGGCTGAGGCGGAAGGATCGCTGGAGCCCAGCAGGTGAGGCTGCGGTGTCTGGGAGTGGCCACTGCACTCCAGTCTGGGCGATAGAGTGAGACTCCAACTCAAAAAAAAAAGGGGAAAAAAAAAAGAATTTAGTGCCTTCTGATGATGGAACATGTTAAAAGTACTTAAGTTACGGCTGGGCAAGGTGGCTCACACCTATAATCCCAGCACTTTGGGAGGCCGATGTGAGAGAATTGCCTGAGTGTACAGGTTCTAGACCAGCCTGGGCAACTTGGCGAGACCTCATCACTACAGTAAATCAAAAAATTAGCCGGGTGTATTGGCGCACGCCTGTAGTTCCAGCTTCTTTGAAGGCTGAGGTGAAGGATCGCCTGAGCCCAGCAGGTCGAGGCTGCGGTGGCTGTTAGCGTGCCACTGCACTCCAGCCTGGGCGACAGAGTGAGACTCCAACTTAAAAAAAAAAGTACTTAAGTTTTTATTATGTATACTTTTGAGGAAATAGTAGAACGTAAAAGTAAAAACATTTGTAGGGAAGCATAATGGACTGCAAAATCAGTTTTCTTTGCTTGCATAGATAGTACAGGATGGGAAATAAACGTTCCTGGACATCTAGTTAAATTACCATGAGATAAAGCGTTTCTTCTGATACAATGTCTAAAATTTATTATTCCTTGTTACAGAAGTCCTAATGTAGATATTTTCATTGGATTGCTTTTGTCATATCCATCTTGCCAACATTTATTTTTAAAATATTATATAGCTGCTTAACACAGTTAAAGAAACTACAAAAGATGTATATGGTCTCCATTCCAAACTGGATCGTAAGAAGGCAGTTGACCAACACAATGCAGATGCTCAGGATACTTTTGGCAAAAACCTGAATAGTCTGTTTAATAATATGGAAGAATTAATTAAGGATGGCAGCTCAAAACAAAGAGCTATGCTCGAAGTTCGCAAGACCTTGTTTGGTAAGTTCAAGCATTTCTATGCAAGTCTTTATGTGTTTAATGTGAGGCTGATTTCAAAACTGATTATTTAATTTTGTAAAACTCAGGAGACAGTGTTACCAGTACCCTCCTTTTTGCACATGTTATTTGTTCAGGATGAAGGTTAATGCTTTTAGTGCCTTTGAATTAAAACAAATGTAGTATTCCCCTGCTTTTTATAAAATGTTTATTAAATAACTAATATAAAAATTAAAAGTCCTGTTTATCTCTGACTCAGGTTCATTCACCATAGGAATTACTGTTAAATTTCCTGAGTTTTTTTCTAGAAAATTTCTATGCTTAAGCTTTTTGTAATTTTTGGGGAGATGGGGCGGGGCGTATGTATATCTTGAAAGTTTACTGTATTGTCAGAATATGTGTATCATTATTTTTAACTACTCCATTGTTATCTCTCTTTAGAAAATATTCTTAAGTATTAGATTCTTTTGTGAAATACTAACCTTATTATAGAAAATTTGGACATTCAGAAATGTAAAAATTAAAAAAATCATCTGGACTATAGACTCATTAAGCCAACCACTATAAATTTTGGAATTGATTTTTAGTATTTCTTTTCTTCTAGAAACTCCTTTATTTTCCATAATACTATATATTAACTTTAGTTGGAGATCAATTTTAGAGTATTCTAATTTTTGGTTTACTGTGAGTTACGGTTATGAGTTTTTTTTTGTTTTTTTTTTTTGAATCAGAGTCTCACTGCATCGCCCAGACTGGAGTGCAGTGGCCTCCGCAGCCTTGACCTGCTGGGCTCAGGTGATTCTTCTACCTCAGCCTTCTAAGTAGCTGGAACTACAGGCACATACCACCTTGCCTGGCTAATTTTGTTTGATTTATTGTAGAGATGAGGTCTTGCCAAGTTGCTCAGGCTGTTCTCAAATCTGTGAGCTCAAGCAATCCTCTCACCTCAGCCTCCCAAAGTACTGGGATTATAGGCAGGAGCCATCATACCCGCCCAGTTATGAGTCTTATACACGTACAAATTTAAAGGCTTATTGTAGAAAATATATCGTAACCTGGGCGTGGTGGCTCACACCTATAATCCCAGTATTTTGGGAGGCTGAGGTTAGAGGATTGCCTGAGGCCATGGGTTCAAGACCAGCCTGGGCAACTTGGTGAGACCTCATCTCTACAATAAATTAAAAAATTAGCTGGGCCTGGTGGCTCGTGTCTGTAGTTTCAGCTACTTGGAAGGCTGATTCGGAAGGGTCACCTGAGCATGGGAGGTTGAGGCTGTGGTGGTCTTGAGCATGCCATTGCACTCCAGAGTGAGACTCTGACTCTCTCTCTCGCTCTCTCTCTCTCTCTCTCTATATATATATATACATATTATATATATATAATATGTATATATAATGTATATTTTAAGTTATCAGTTTTGACATCGGCCTCACACTACACACTAGGATGTGTTGCCAACCTCTTCGGAGCGATTGACCTGTTCTTAAATCTACTTATGTCAAAATTCACATGTTTCTTTTGTCTCTTGTTTTTGTCACAGGTAATCTGTTATCTTCCAGTGTCTCTGCGTTGGACACCATTACTACCACAGCACTGGGATCTCTCACATCCATTCCAGAAAATGTGTCTACTCATGTTTCTCATATTTCCAATATGCTGTTGGAAGAACAGTCATTAGCATCAGAAAGTAAAACTGTACTGCAGGAATTGATTGTTAGTATACGTATTAAAATATTTTTGAAGGGTTATATCGACAAGTCTTTCAAAACAATGTTAACTGCTATTCTTTCATCTTAAGCTTTACTAGACACGGTGATGGATGTATCACTAAAAGAGAATATGTTTATATTTTTAAAGACAAATCTGTCCTGTCTTTTTTTCCCAGAAAGATTGATTTCCAAATGTCACAACTAACCTTGGAAACTTTTTTCATTTATATCTTGTAACATTGGGCATAGGAGTTATTAGTGAGCCCTTTAGCACTAAAGGGCAGGTTTAGCACATGATTTCAAGGGGACTGTGACTTGTTAGTTGACTCAGGAATTGGTAAGTCACTCATTTCCCAAGGCTACTGTACCCAACCAGAAGGGATGTCAGGTAGTTTATTTTAGTAAGTGATAGTGCTATGTAATAGAATAGTAAGTGAGAAAAAGAACTTTTAGAATTCTAAGAACATGTAACAATTCTTGAGGTTAGGTCTGTGGGGCTATACCCCTCTGGGCCTTGACTGTAAAGCTTTTTCCACAGCTTTATGGAAGACACTCATCTAATCACACTTAATATTACCCCCTTCATATCTGATTTATATATACTCTTTATTTTGTAATCGTATTGTTAGTCTAGGAAGGTCTTGGCCATATCATTAATTGGTTTTCCTTGTATAGGCTCTCTGCCTCCCTTTTTGAGCTTAACAATACATGTTAGACATTTTCTAAGTAAATATTACAAATGTTAGCTGACCTTCTGTTAGAGTCAGTGTTTACATGACACTGTTTGATAAGTGTTTTTTCAATCACCCAGATTTAACAGAGTTAACAGATACTGTCAGTACTAACTTTCCAAATATTGGTTCATTCACTAAATGTTGGTCTGTATATTACAGGTTTGTTTCTAGATCACGGTAATAAAGTGAATATCACAGTCTACTAAATGTACAGTAACATTATGTCAAAGTATATACCTAAATTAAAAATACTTTATTACTTAAAAATGCTAATGATCATCTCTTCCAGCAAGTCATAGCTTATTTCACTCTTCCTTTCATGAAAGATTTCTCTGTAGTATGTGATTCTGTTCGATAGCATTTTACCCACAATAGAACCTCTTTCAAAATTGGAGTCCATCCTTTCAAACCCTGCCATGACTTTATTAACTAAGTTAATGAAATTCTTTGTTGTTATTTCAGCATTGTTCACCAGCCATAGATTCCATCACAAGAAACCACTTTGTTTGCTCATCCATAAGAAGCCACTCCTTGTCTGTTCAAGTTTGATCAGGAGATTGCAGCAATTCAGTCACGTCTTCAGGCTCTACTTCTAATTCTGTTTCTCTTGCTGTTTCCACCACATCTGCAGTTATTTCCTCCACTGAAATCTTGAACCCCTCAAAGTTGTCCACAAAGGTTGGAATCCGCTTCTTCCAAAGTCATGTTAGGGTTGAGATTTTGGCCTCTTCCCTTAAATCATGAATGTTTTCAGTGGTGAAAATCCTTTCCAGGTTTGCAGTGGACTTTGCCCAGATCCACCAGAGGAATCACTATCTATGGCAGCTATAGTCTTACAAAATATATTTCTTCTTCTTTCTTTTTTTTTTTGAGTTGGAGTCTCACTCTGTTGTCCAGACTGGAGTACAGTGGCATGCTCATGACCACTGCAGCCTCAACCTTCCAGGTTCAGGTGATACTTCTGCCTCAGCCTTCCAAGTAGCTGAAACCGCAAGTGTAAATTTATTGTAGAGACAAGGTCAAGTTGCCCAGGCTAGTCTCGAACCCCTGGGCTCAGGCAATCTTCTCGCCTTGGTCTCCCAAAGTGCTGGGATTACAGGCATGAACTACAGAGCCCAGCAACATGTATTTCTTTTTCTTTTTTTTTTTTTTTGAGTCGGAGTCTCACTCTGTCACCCAGACTGGAGTGCAGTGGCCGCTCCCGGCCACTGCAGCCTCGACCTGCTGGGCTCCGGCGAGA